GGTTCCTGGTACCGGAGAAAAACCAAAAAAAAAAAAAAAAAAAAGAGGTTCCTAGATATGGGTCATGAGCATTCAGAGCATTCCCACGACACAGCACCCTTAAAGATGAACAGCTTGCCATTCTGTTTTATACATGGATTTCTGCATTTATATGGTGTCATTCTATGAGCATCTGACCATCTGTCAGTGGACCCACTGGAAGGTCAATGTTGGGACCTGAGATCTAAACTCTGAGCCCTGACTGTGTCAGCCTGCTGTGGGTTTATCTTGTGTCTTTCTCTGGCCCTTGGTATACATGACTGTCTTTTAAAACTGTAATAGTTCTAAAACTTGGAAGTGCTGGTAACAAATATGTTCAGAACAAATTGCTAGGACTTGGTCAGTGCTTGGATATGAGAGTTGAGAACAAATCCCATGACTCAGAAAGATTCTGATGACTAAGAGACAACAGATTGAGGGGATGGAGAAAGGTCATGACTAGAATGCCCAAATGGCGAATCTCAATGGACTGCTACAAGCAGGTCTGCAGTTCACTAAGAAGTCCAGGCTGTGCAGACACATCACCAGCCATCAGCATACAGGAGGCAAGGGGTGAGATGGCCTGGGAGGGAGGAGTGAAGTAAACCAGGAGACTACAAAACGAACACTAGTGACTTTCTTCTGGGACCAGGTCTCACCAAGTCCCTAAGTTATCCAGGCTAAGACTGCTTGAACTTGCAATCTTCCTGCTTCACCCTTGCGGAATACTTAAGTGGGAGGATCTCCATATGTTCGTGGCCAGCCTGGGCTACGTAGTGAGTTTAAGACAGTCTGAGTTACAAAACTCAGATTGGAACTATTGAGGCTTAGTCTCAAAAAAACAAATAAATAAATGAAAGAATGAATCATACGAAAAGTAAATGCTGTAGCGACCAAATAAAAATTCTTCACCTTGAAACTACAAATCTGGAAAATCTGAAGACAGAATAAGTAATTCTGTCCTACTAATTCAACTGACATTTGGCATCTGACCTGCTACTTCCCAGTGGCTCCTTCTTGGCAGCCACTCCATTGTTTGTGTCTGAGCCATGATACAATGGTCAGCTTATTCACTAAGTAAAGTAATTACCAAAAAATTTCACTGTCATCCCCTAAATGGCCTTGATTTACTGCCTGAGCCCATTCTGACCCACTGGATGCTGTTATCATGCAGGGCAGGAGCTGCAGCTCCTGTTCTGTTGCTGTTCCAGTCACAGGAAGGGACCTGTTCCTCACCTCTTCTCTTACAAGCCTACCTTCTAGTCTCTCTTGGAGGGCATCACAAAGCCAGGAACCTCTTCACATGAAAATCAACTTGTTTATGGTAATTCTATGCCCCAATCATGAAACCAGAAAGGAAGTTAGGAAAAAAAAACAGTATGGTACATATAGGTACAAAAGGAAATATAATACATTATCTGTAACATATGTAAGCTAACTGCAGCCCGTTCCACGTTAACTCTTTTGTGTCATGCTTCTTCCCCAGCCCATGTGCATCATGCTTCTAATTTCTCATCCAATACTAAGAACTGCTTCAAGAAATAAGTACATTTGTGTATATAAAACATTAAGAACTTCTCGTGGATTGGAGAATGACATCTAATAATCTAAACTTTCATAAAAATTAAGTATGTGTGTCCATAATACAAATAATGCCTCTAGTGATTTAGCTGAACAAAAATAGTCTGCTTTTTTGAGATTAGTTTTAGGCTTCAACTATACTATTAAGAAAAATATAAGATTATAGAAACAATTATTTCAGGAGAAACACACAGCAGTCTTCATTTAATCCGGGGACCTCCGCTGAGATTTATGCTTCAGTGAGCCACACAATGAACACATTACAAAAGATCTGCTCACATGACAAGCCAGCTACACTGCTGTTACTCTGGTCGCCAGTGAGTGTGAAGACAATGAGCTCATCACCAACTTCCAAGGAGCTAGAACAAGCCCACAGCTTTCCTCCAGTTCGCCATTCCCTGCTCACTGTAAGCAGCAAGCCTCACTGTCATTTTTCTAGTAAGCCCCAGAAGGTGTGGTGTAGCAAAAGAGTATTTAGGTACCACGAACACATTTTCAACAAAAACAGGACTCTGTATAACAGGACAGGACAGAACATTTAAAATTTTTTAAGTTTATTTTTTCTTTTTATAAAGCTAGTGTAGGGCCAGGGATATAGTTCAGCAGCACAGTGCCTGCCTGGCAAGTGCAAGGTACTGAGTTTGATTCCTGGTACCAAAAAATTAATTAATTAATTAATAATAATAAAAAAAATCAAGCTAGTGTATCTATTGCCGGCCATTTTGAAAATAAATACAAAAAAAGAAGAAGAAAACAATCACATCTCCTCAGGTAGCCATTATTAAAATTTTTGTTTTTGTTAATATTAGAAAATTAATGAATAACCAAGTATATGTATCTTTTTTGAGGGGGGTACTAAAAAGTGAACTCAGGACTTTGTGCTTGCCAGGCAGGCACTTATGCCACTGAGCTAAATCCCCAGCCCCAAGTATATTTATCTTAAAAGTCTGAAGGGAAATGATACTCTCAGAGATAGGTCATTAAAGGCCTCCCACTCATGACTGCGGTTGAGCTCCCCCCACAACTAGCACCTACTGCTGGATACACAACTCTAACCACCAGCATGGATGCTTAACCCCTCTCTCCCAACCTCTGTCTTACTACAAAAAACAGCAAACCTAAAAAAGTTGAAATCACCACCCAAATCACCTGGCCTCATAGACTGCTCACATTTTGCCCCACTTGGGTGCTCGGTATCCACACCTTTCCTGCTGGTCTCAAATCACTTCAAAGTTCTACAGCACGATGCAGGTACCATGACAGCGCATTTTTAGCACTGCCGCATGTACTTCCTGAGAGTAAGGACATTCAGGAAATATAACTTACAGACCAGTAAAATAAAGGGCGGACCCTGTAAGCCATGACCAACTGAAGCATTAAAGTATATTTTTCCTCTTCTTTGTCCTACACCATGTGAATACTTCCTCAGGGACAGTTTTGCAACCTCAGCATCGAAGACATTTGGGCCAGGTCACCCTTTCCTGTGCATTGCAGGATGGTGCCCATCATTTCTATACCTCTGCCCACAGATACCACTACTGTCTCCCAGCCAGCTGTAACTGAAAGTATCTCCTAGAAGGGAATTATAGGAAGAGTGAAGAAACGCTGCTCTTACAGAATAAGACCCCAAGTCCCTATGAGAAGCAGCAGCAGTAATGACAGCGGACAGCATGTCATGGCCACCTGGCAGTATGTGCTAAGCAGTCTGCATGCGTCAGGCCACCTACCCATAGAGCAACTCTCAGAATTGGGTAGCACAGCACCTCCTTACAGAAGAGGAAAGAGACACAGTGAGGGCAACACGTCATGTTGCACAGCCATTAAGTGGCACAGCAGGGATTCAAGCTCAGCCATGTGGGGCCCACATGGGCCCTCATACCCCTGCTCACTTCCAGGACATCATCTCCTTTCTCCTGCTGAGACTGAGCTTCCTGAGAATCAACCCTCCAGCAGGCTCCAGATCTTTCTGGACAGCACCCACCACAGTGCCAGCGCTCCTCATCTCCTCCGAGGGTTGCTCTCCCTGCAGGAATCTCACACGTCTGGGTCAGAGTCTGCCCATGCTGGTCCTCGGCACACAAGGACCACTCTTCCTGCTGCCTGGCTCCAGTCCCAAAGGAGCTTACCAGTTAGTTCACAAGGCAAATGCTCAGAGCAGCGCCTCACCCACGGTGTGTTCCACGGAGTACTAGTGCTAGCTCTTCTCTCCCCACTAGTGTGTAAAGCAGTATCTGAGGGTAGGCATTTTCATTTTTTGTTTTGTTGTTGACTTTGTACTGGGGATTGAACCCAGCACTTTGTACTGAGCTGTACCACCAGTCCCTCTTTTAAATTTTATTTTGAGACAGGGTCTTGCTAAGTTGCCCAGGCTGGGCTCAAATTTATAATCCTCCTGCCTCAGCCTCCCAGAGTACAGGGATCATAGCTGTGTACCTCCCAGAGTACAGGGATTATAGCTCCTACTGTGTCTTGATATGGTCCCAGTGCTTGGCACATGGTAAATTCTCAATTAAGAATTTTCTCAGTAGGGCTGGGGATTTAGCTCAGCGGCAAAAGCGCCTGCCTGGCAAGCGCAAGGTCGTGAGTTCGGTTCCCGGTACCGGAGAAAAAGAAAAAACAAAAAAAAAAAAGAATTTTCTCAGTAAATGTATGATCAAACCCAAGAAGTTTCCTTCAAAAATGAGATCCAATGCTTGGCCTTTACTACTTGGGTGAGTCCCAACTCTTCATTAAAAGTAAAAGACAACCCTGACAGCACCTATAGCACTTAAAAAGGAAAAGAATGTAGGAAACTGGCATTCTCCTATACTGCTAATAACTATTCACATCACTGAAATTCCATTTAGGGAGGAATCATATACCTTAAAAAATGCACATACCCTTTGGTACAACAATTCATCCTCAACAAACACTTACACACACAAATCAAGAAGGATAATGATGTTCACTATCATCTCTTTCAAAACACTAAAAAACTGGAAATATATCAATATCCAAAGACAGAGTTAAATGATAGCTGACTGGTTTCTTGCCCCACTGTAATTCCTGCTGAGTTGCTATGGCACCCAGCCAATATGGCGCTGGAGGTCATGTGGTATGGTGCTGAGTCACTATGGCATCCAGCCAATATGGCACTGCCCACTAGAGGCCATGTGCTAAGCCCCACCCTTCTTCTGCTGAGTCAAATTACGACTTCCTACTTTCCCCTTTGTAATATCCTGTTCCCTTTTCCCACGCTCCCACCCAATCCTGGTCTGTCAAGTCAGGCGGTCCGCCTCTTAAACCCTGCCTCCAGTCTGGGGTTATTTAACCTTGGACCCCAGGAAAGATCCTTAGAAGCGCCATGTTTTTCTCTTTCCTGTGGCCTTCTCTGTGCCCACAATAAAGGCATTTTATTCTGTTTTACTTCTCTCTGTGCTGGAAAAACCTACCAATAGTGTTTCCATACAATGTAATCCTATAAAGCCATTACAATAATGAAGAATATTTATATAAAAATGGTCACATTAGAGAAAGTAAATTATAAAACAGAATGAACAATATAATCCTAGCAACTTTATATGCACAGAAGCCAAATGTTAAATGAGATTATACATGAGTTATGGGATTTTGATTTTTTTTTTTTTTGGTGGTACTGAGGACTGAGCCTAACGCTTCACACTGAGCTATCTCCTCAGCTCTTTTTTTTGTTGATAACAGGAATCAAACTCATGATCTCATGCTTACCAGTGTGGGGCTGTGCCACTGAGCTATATCCCTGGCCTGATTTTAATCTTCTTAATAGTTTTCCTTTACTTTATTTTTCTCCAGTGTATTTTACTTCTGCTTTTATTAAAGATGTTTTAACTTTTAATTCTTTTTTTTTTTTTTTTTTTTGAGACAGGTCCTTGCTATGTAGTTAAGCTGGTCTTCAACTCACTATGTAGCCCACGTTAGCCCCAAGCTCATGGCGACCCTTCTGCATCAGCCTCCCACGTGCTGGGATTACACGGGTGCACCACCACGCCTGAATAAACATGTTTTCAAATGGAAGTTCATATATAGGTGAAAGAGAAATCCCTTTGATATTCATAGACATGTATGTACCTAGGCTGGACTGAGGGAGGCCCAGGTGATGGATGTGTTTTCAGGCCTCACCCTAACTGTTCACCCTTTAAAGAAGTTTTATTTAACTTAGAAATGGGACCTGTCTCCTGTATAGACTGATTTTTTTTTTTTTTATTCTTTAGATAAGGAAACTATGTGATTTACGAAATGGTTTGTGCCGGGTCTATCAGTCAGTATCTAATATTACTCTTTCTCACTGAAATTGTCACACAGTCCCAATAAACCACAGTGACACAAATACTTTCAAAACACAGGGTCTGACCCACTGAGGGATGGTGAAGTTCTCTGGAGGAAGAAATGCAAGCACTACACTTTAGTATATCCATAGCTGGTTCCCTCCACTCCCATTCCGGTCAGCACCCACTCTCCTCTGAGGGGGAGCACCACATACCTCTGGTAAGATGAACTGTTCCACAGGCTTGTACCAGAGTTTGTTCACTTGAACGCCACAGCTCGGAGGACTAAAGCGAGCGATGAAGAGGGCCTCCTACACACCGGGGAAGGCGAGGGGCAAGAAACAGGAAACAGAGAAGAATGTTTTATGTTACACATAGCACATGCAACAAGTCCTCAAACACCTTCCAGCTTGATCAGTCAACAAAATCCATAATGGTCCGAAGTACAGTGATTCATGTTGTTCTACTGTAGTTTTGGCAATGTTTGGGTTTTCTAGTACAATCATGGTTATGAAGTAAAGATATTTAAGATACCAAAGTTGTCTTAAAATTCTCAACTACTAGGGGCTGGGGATTTAGCTCAGCGGCAAAAGCGCCTGCCTGGCAAGCGCAAGGTTGTGAGTTCAGTTCCCGGTACCAGAGAAAAACCAAAAAATTCTCAACTACTAAACATAACCTTAAAAACAAAAGAAAAAACCCCATCTTGACATGAAAAGCATTAAAGGAAGTGAGAGGTGTTGTTAAACTCAGTTAATTACAGTGCCAAAATTCCCTAAAGAGTTGAGAATAAATGGAAAGATCACATATTTAGAGGGGATGGGAACAAAAAAACTCAAGAACCCCTTCCAAAAGAACTATCATGCTGGGTGCAGTGGTGCTGCATATACCTGTAATCCCAGCAGTCTGGGAGGCTACGGCAGAAAGACTGCAAGTCTGAACCAAGCCTGGGCAAGAATGAAAAGGGAAAATTCATTGATCATACAATCTGATGAATAGGTTTCAAAATGTGGAGTGAGAGATGACATACAGTGGAGCACTTCTCTACGCTTCCGTCTATACATGAAGTCCCAGAACAGACACAACCAGTCTACGAGAAAACAAAAAAATCAGAAGAGTGGTTGCCTTTGGGGCACAGAAAAGGAACGGACTTGGAAGGAACATAAGGGAACTTTCTAGGATCACATGCTTCACATACTGACAGGAGTATGTGAGTGAAACAGGTTATAGAATTTAACGAACTGCACGTACATGCCACTGTATGTAGTTTAAGAACAATAGGGGCTGGGGATTTAGCTCAGCGGCAAAGCGCCTGCCTGGCAAGCGCAAGGTCATGAGTTCGGTTCCCGGTACCAGAGGAAAAAAAAAAAAAAGAACAATAAAAAAGTAAATCCTAATTAATGACATGCATGCTAGAGCATTCAAGTGTGAAGTATACCAATGCCTGCAATTTACTCTGAAATACATTTTTAAAAAGATAGATTAATAAATACATATGTGACAAAGCAAATACAGCCAGACACTGATTACTGTAGAATCTAGTTGGTGGATATTCAGTTCTTCACTGTATAATTGTTTTGCATTTCCTGTATTTTTAAAACCCAGAAACAGATCTTTTCAAATATAATTCCATCCTATATGCCTTCTGATATATCATGCAAACAAATCAGATCTCCCCAACTTCAGAGAAAGAGTGAGCCCAACTGTTTTAAACTTTTCTCCCTCCTATATCGTCCTTACAAAAAACATCTGAAGCAGCTTATTGGCCTTTTATTGTAGATTTTTATGTTTGTAAGAGACAAAATCCTAAAAGGCCTCCAATTTTTTTTCTTTTTTAACACAGGGTCTCACTATGTAGCCCAGGCTGGCCTCAAACTTACTGCAATCCTTCTGCCTCAGCCTGCTGAGTACTGGTATTACAGGCGTTTACCATCAAACCCTGCTACAAGGCCCCAAATTTTTATATCCATCACCAATTTCTGAGTTCTGGAAGATTTTAGATTGAGAATTTCCAATCTAGTCCAACTTCCTCTTTTCTAGATATAATGCATTTATTCACTGTTAATCTCTTTTCAAACCAGTAGTATAATTTTTTGCACTACAATGCATTCTCCATTTAGTCAATAAGGGAAAAATGGTGGAAGTCTCTCAACTAGAGGGAATTACATAGTCTTCCAACCTAGTACATGCCATAAGGAAAAGTTGTGTTTTGGGAGAAGGAAAACATGCGAAGTCCTGTACAAAGCAGTGCATACCTCCTGTTCTGCCTGATAAAGCTTCACCGTAATGTTCCTCTGGAAACCCACATCACTGGCATCGTAGAATACTCCAAGACTGGTGATAACAATTGGGTAGAGAACTCGGAAGCTCACACTAACAACTCGGTCCTCAGAGAGCTCTGATGTAGCATCTTCTGAAAGACTGAATGCTTCAATTTCCTGATTCAAAACTAAGGAAGCAGGGAAAAGAGGGGTTTTACATAATTAAACATACGTAATCTCTTATTTTACAAATATGATGTATGAAGCAGCCCTAACAGTAAAATCTAACTACCTATATTTACTATATGATTTTTTCACAAGTGGCAGAAATTTTTTAAAAATTGAGAATCATGGCTGCGCCTAGAAAAACAAACCCATTTTGAAATTTAAGAATGAACTTTTCAGCTAAATCTAGTATTCAATTATCAAAACTGCTTTAGATTTTTTGTGTACATGTGTGTCTGTACATAGACAAATAAATATTACAGGAAAACAATAAACTTAAGTTAACTGGAAAGTATCTACTTGGAAGTATTGGAGAAAAAGTGTAACAAACACAGTACTAACTGCAGGCATAAGTAATCAGTACATTTGAGTTGGGCATGGTGGTGCACACCTGTAACCCCAGCAACTGACAAGGCTGAGGCAGGACTGCAAGTTTGAGCCTGGTCTACGCAACTTAGCAAGGTCCTGTATCAAAATAAAAATTAGAATAAATTTTTTTAAAAAATAGCTGAGCATGTAGTTCATTCTGAAGGCCTTGAGTTAAATCCCCAGTATAAGCGGAGGTGGGGGGGGAATCAGTAAATTTGGTTTTGCTTTGCAAATTTCGAAGTTCTACTTCTTTTTAGGCAATTTAAGATATCTGTGACATGTCAGGCAACTATTATAATACAGAAGTAACTAGAATAACTTCAAGTAACACTGAAAAATTCTTGCTGTACAATACTGATAAAAGATAAGCACAGCAGGCATTTCTGACTTTGTACCTGGTCACATTCCCACCAAGTTTACATTTTCACAACTTCTCCCTGTGGGGGAAGCATTGATTTATAGTTTACAGACTAATGAACTGAACTCAGACATAGTAACCGCCCAAAGACACGGAGGAGCCACACCTAGGTTTAATGACTCCTAACTCAGTAGTTTCCCATTCTTCCCCAGTTGTCTAATCAGTGTCCAAACAGCCCTTTTGAAGTAATTTCTAATTCCATAAGTGAATCAAGATAGATTACATGGGTAGTTAATATGGCAGAGACTACCAGTACTACTTTGACAAATAAGACATTTTTAAAAAGAATATTATAACCAAGTTCTTTGTATCTTTTAGAGCTGTGGTTTTCAAACTTTTCTGATTATAACACCTCGTAAGTTAAAAAAAAAAAATCTGTATACATACCCATACACTTACAAAGTAAATATAAATACTGTCATATTTGGTATTAATACAAATTATATTTAGGGCTGGAAGTATTGAGTGGTACAGTCGTTGCTTAACATGCAGCAGGCCCTGGGTTTAATCCTTAGCACCAAAACAGTAACAATAAAATAAAATTTGTATTTTCTTCCTGAACACCCACAGGTTGTTTAGATCCTCACTTTAAGAGCTCCTAGAAACTATTATACACTTAGTAGATACTCATTAACATAACTATAGGAGAAGTGATGGCTTCTGCTCAATTACAGACATGAGCAGGAAGGGAAGAAAAGAGAACAGATTCTTGTCATAGACAGGGCAGGGACTGCCAGAGTCTAGACTCCAAACATAGTGTATGACAACAAAATGTTGCTCTTTAATATAATCAGGAAATAAAAGACATCCACAGTGGAAGCATGTCTATTAAAAGCATCAGGTCAAATACATTATAACAGTATTAGTTTTTTTTGTTGTTGGTTTTTTTTTTTTTTTTTGGCGACAGGCTCTCATTGTTAGTTCAGGCTGGCCTCCAACTCTGACCTACCTGCTTTAGCCTCCAAAATGCTGGGGTTACAGGTGTGCACCACCACGCCTGACCCTTTTTTTTTGAGAGAGAGACTCCTGCTATGTAGTTCAGGCTGGCCTTGAACTCAGAGCAAGCCTCCTCCCTAATCCTCCCATGTATTGGGGTTACCGGCCTGTACTACCAGGCCTCACTAGATATTTCTATCTTAAAAAATAACCCTGAACTCAAGCTACCTTAAAAAACAAATTGTTGCTTTATTTTTGAGATGAAGGTATCACTATGTTGCCCACACTGATCTAGAACTCCTGGGCTCAATGAGATCCTCCCACTTCAACCTTCCAAGTAGCTGGGACTACAGGTGTTCAAGGGTGTGGGGCTAATGCTGTTGTTTTGCTTATTAGTCAAACCTTTTACATATCTTAGTATCATGACTGAGGCTGACCTTCAGGTACTGAAATAACCCTAAATGCTTTCTGGAAAATAAAAAAGACAAAATTTGTGTGTGTGTATTTTTAAAAATGTAACATACAGCACATGTATAAACATTTTCTTTTTAAATATTTTATCAGTACCCATTTGCAGTTCATGCAGTGTGCACTCACGCTGGGGAGTGATTACATGCGTACACCACAGCTGTCTCTTTTTTTAAATTCCCTTCCTCTTCACTCCTCCTCCCTTTTGAACATTTTCTATTAATGAAGAGGTCTACTCCTTTACTATTAATGAGTAATGGCATCTAAAATAATGAGTTCTGGATTTTTTCTTCTTTTTTCTTTTACAGTGCTCAGAATGGAATCCAGGGCCTGGGTTCTATTAAGAGCACTTTGCAATATCCCTAGCCCTGGAAAATTCAAAGGAAAGGAAGTGGCTTTTTCTAGTTGCTGTTTGGTTTGGTTTTCATTCACTCATTTATTTTTGAGACAGGGTCTCGCTATGTAGTTGAGGCTGGTCTTGAACTCACGATGATGCTCCTGCCTCAGCCTCCTAAATGCTGTTATTATAGGCATTTGCCTGTATGCCCAATTGGTTTTGGCTTTCAACAGTAACTTGCTTTGAGACAGGATAGCACATCATCACTAATGCACCATTTACAAGATACATAATTTAGGGTTACCCAAAGGTGCACATAACCATAAAGATTTGACAAAATTGAAACTAATACAAGTCATAATCAGCACGTGGGACATAAGGAAAGCTTATCATCTTAGAATCACAACTGCACATAATAGGAAGTGCTAATAAAGACATGTTATAACTTCCCCAAATTAGTTCCCTGGTAGATACACAGAGGATCTAATTAGAATCTGTTTTCTCCATCACCAGGATCCCCACCGCTTTCAAGGAACAAAAAGTATCGTCTTTTTAATGTCTTACTACTTGTTTCGCAGAAGTACCTGCAATGATCTTAACAGAACGTTGCCTCACAACATTTGTATCAATGCTATTATAAATCCACTGATGAAATCAGCAGTTTCTCAAAAATCTGAAGTTGAGTAACTCATGATTTAGCTAGGCTTAAGGAACTTCCAGATGCATCTGAATCATCCTAAAGAATATTCTACTGGATCCCAGAACCCTGTACCTGTGGGGAATCTCTATAAATTCCTGAATGGATTAATCTATTGTTGGGTTTTTTTTTTGTTTTTTTTTTTCTGGTACCGGGAATCGAACTCAGGACCTCACACTTGCCAGGCAGGCACTGTGCCACTGAGCTAAATCCCCAGCCCCTGGATCGATTAATCTATGGAGAGGAATGAAACAAAAACTTTGATGACAAAAACAGAATCCATACTAGTAAGTTTAGTAACTTTTACTCAACATCGAAGTTGCAGAAGGCAGTCTGTGGCAGAAGACAACTCACCTGGACTGGTGATGTTGAGCAGCCTGCAGGAGTAAGGGTTCTCCCTGTCTTCCACAGGCACTTCACAGCCACGAGCACCTATTATGAACTTCACAAGCACACTGAGAGACGTGTTGGTATTAACATCGGTTACTCATCTTCACCTTACACATGCACCTTTCCTCAGGCTCATTTCAGAGCTTTAACGTTAAGACGTAAGTAGTTATGAAGATTAATTTTTACCTTTATTCTTCTAGTCTAGCAAAAAGGGGAAACATCAAATTGCTAACTGCCAAGTGACTTGTGGGTGAGCTCTCTCCTGTAATAATACTCCATTTAAAACAAGCATGAAGGTTTGCTCTGGCTACCAGCCACTGCTCATGCCATCTAAAAGCAAACTATATCCATTTCTCAAAAACTATCCATATTTTAGCTGGGTGTGGTCGTACAGGCCCATAATCCCAGCACTTGGGAGGCTGAAGCAGGAGGATCACCATGAGTTCAAGTTCAGTGTGGGCTATGTAGTGAGCTCAAGGCCAGCCTGGACCATACAGTGAAACCCTGTCTCAAAACGCCCGCCCCCCCAAAAAAAACCCAAAAACAAAAACAAAGGAACCCCCAAAATAAAAACCACACACAAAAAAACTATCCATATCTGCAACTTTCCCCTTCTGTTTCTTTTTCTCTTTTATGTTACTGGGGACTAAATTTGGGGCCTTTGCACTGAGCCATATCACCCTTCCACTTTGAGACAGGGTCTCATTAGATTGCCCACACAGGGCTCAAGTTTGTGATTCTTCTGCTTCAGCTTCCCAGAGTGCTGGGATTACAGTTTTGTGCCACCACACCCAGCTTTTCTGCTGTGTCTATTTTTCTATTTTAGCACGTGGTCTTCTGCTCAAGATTAGTCTTTCTATCCAAGATGTACTTCCTGTCCTGCCTCATAAAGCTTTACAAGTTCTTTCTCTGGAAACCCACATCACTGTTATCTCAGAATACTCTGACTGCTGGACTGGTTACCCTGTGACTCCCACCTTCTACATTATAAAAACTGTGAGCATGACCCAGAGTCTGCCCTTGAACCTCTTCTCCATCTGCTCATTCTATTCATTTCGCCTTCTCTCCTTCTCTCTCTTTCCTTTCTCCCTTCTTCCCTTCCTCTCTCCCCCTCCCTTCCTTCCTTCCTTCTTTCTATCCTTCTTGTCTTTTGAGACAGGGTCTCACTATGCAGTTCAGGCTGGCCTTGAGCTCACTTTGTTGCCCAGGCTGGTCTGGATTTGCAACGATCCTCCTACCTCAGCCTGCCGAGCACTGGGATTACAGGCGTGCGCCACCATGCCTGGTTTCACTTCCTCTTCTTGGACAATAGTATTTATTCTCAATGACTCACCGCCTAGAAATGACTTTTGACCTAGCAGTTCCAGTTTGGACCCACTCGCTAAGTAAAAGATCCATAAAGTCACTGGGCATCTCCACCTAGATGACCCATACGCAGTTGTGTCCTGAAGCCTGCTTGTGAGGGCAACTGTCACATTTTTAGGAATTTTGAGAAATGCAAATTTTCAGCTAATTTTATTAAAAATTAAATTACATAAACTTACAAGAAAGTATATTACTACCAAAAGAAATAGTCAAACTCATCATTTTCTGATTTTACTACATTTGACTATTATCAGTCTCTTAAGATTTATATCTTCATATGTACGATGGTATCACATATGGCATATTATGCATATCTGTCCCCAACTCTGCATTCAGTAACATCACATCAGTTTCCTGAAATTGGCCTCGATGGGACTATTCAGACCATAGAAAGTGTCAAAACAATAGAAGTATGGGCTTGATACATTGTTTGCTTGACTGTATAGACCCAAAAAAGTAATGCAAATTAAACTTACTGTACTCTATCTGGAGCTATTATATTGTGACTAGCACAGAACAATGGAGGAAATAGTCTTCCCATGTTCAAAGACTACTATGATTCAGCAAAGAAGTCACTGGCTTCATGGACTAAGTTGTCACTAGACTCTCACTCTAACTATGAAGAAATACTTGTGTCAAACTATACTGCCCTGTCAACTGCACCCATGAACTGGTAACAGAAGAGTCTGGCAAACAACAAAAGCATTCTATGTGAATCATTTTGCTTCGTGGAACTTACTAACTTAACACAGTATTATTTATGTTATTATCTGTCAGTCATGCTACACATCTTTTATATCAGCAAAATTTATAAATACCCATGATGCATTAGCATACTTTCCTCCAGAGAACCAGCCAGTGAGATGTCCCAGTTGACTGCTGCCTGCAGGGTCCTCAAACTCAACATGTCCACACTTGAGCTGCTTTCCTCTTCTTATCAGAGTCCTCTGTGACTGCACTGAGGACCACTACTCTCCAAGTCACAAAGCTAGATGCCTCCTGTTCTATCCAGTCATTGCCTGAAAAGGTCTCACCTTCCACTTAACCTTCCACATGCTCACCTCTCCTAGTCAGGCCCACTCTCCTTTTCTCATTCTTTCTTGACAGGGTCTTACTATGTAGCCCAGGCTGGCCTTGAACTCAAGATCCTCCTGCCTCGGCCTCCTAAGTGCTGTGATTACAAGTGTAGGCCAACACACCTGGCCCTCCACTCTTTACATAGCCTTTCTCTGTGTCTCTCCTTTCTTCCCTGGCATTCTAATACTCACCCTCAATACTCTTCTTCCCCTAAAAATTCCCTGTGCTCTAGTTACATAGGATTGTTTGGAGTTTTCCAAACACCCCAGGATATATTTATATTTATTTTATAGGACTTGTAACATTTTATAACACTATGATTTTATAACATTTTATAACACTATTATACATCTATTTCCTTTTACTAAACTTCAAAATACTCTAAACATTCAGATTAAGCTATATCTGTGTGTTCTACCACACACAACACATGACTTGCTTAAAAAGACACTCAGTACCTTACACAGGTAAGACACCTATTACTTACCTAATACTTACATAGACAACTAGCATTTAGAATAAAATTATTACACTTGATCTTAGCCAAAAGGCCGAGAAGCGACTGGAATAAAAGTATTAAACCCACATAATTACTCTGCCCCAGGAAGCTGTTTTTAGCTAATAACTACTTTTATACAGACAGGCTATCCTTTTCATAAAACAAAGCTTACAAAAGCATGAACTACAGGTGAATTTCTAAAGAACTTTACTTGTTACATTTAGTTCTGAGTCATTCATTCAAAAGTATTGAGTGGCTTGTGCTAAGCCAGTGGTGGCAGACCTACGACACACATGCTGTTTGTTTTCCTTTAAGGCAAAAGATGTTAATGTATGAGTTTTTTGGGTTTTTTTTCTCCCTAACTGAAACCTCAGCTTTAGGTTTAACTGCAGTGTTGGCACTTTGCAATAAGTAAGTGGAAGTAAGTGGGTTTTGGGTTGCAGTTTGGGATTCACCATCACTGCGGACCTCGGTCAAGCTAGATTCTAAGTACTGGGAATATAACAGTAAAAAACAGATGACACCTATATTCTAGTGGGGAAAGACAAGTTATTTATAAATATACAACTAAATACAACGAACATGCCAGTTCATGGTAAGTGTAATGACAAAAGCAAAGTGAGGGAGGACAATGGAATAGAAACGGGTGCTATTTAGACAAGATCGGGCATGTTCAGGGTGGTATGGCCATAGACTGGGGTGCTATTTAATATGGGCTGTCTGCTAGGGTAATCTGAGCAGAGGCTGAAGGAAGTGAGCTATGAGGACAGTTAGTGGATTAAAGCACAGGAAGTGGCCAGCATACAGAAAACAGATAGAGAAGGTCAAAGACAACAACAGACTTGAGATTCCAATCTAAGCAAAAAAGGTAGTCAGTGAAGGGTACGAATAGAGTACTGACCAAGTTAGTTTTAAAGGATCATTCTCAGCTGGGCATGGGGGCACACACTTGTAATCCCAACACGTTGAGAGGGTGAGCCAGGAGGATCAAAGGACTGAGTGGCACACACTTGTAATCCCAGCACCGGGCAGTATGAGGCTGAGGCCAGCCTTAAGTACATACTGAGACTCTGTCTTAGAAAAAGAAACAAAAATTACTCTGGCTGTAACGTGAAGAACTAAATGCATGGGGCTGAGCATGGAAGGAAGAGATTCGTGTAAGGGGCTTCTGCCATAATCCAGAGAGGTGATAGTGGCTTAGGTGAGAATGGTAGAAGTAAGATGCTAGCAAGAGTTCTACTCCAAACATGAATCTAAAGACAGCACCCAAAAGATACGCTGTTGGGGTGGATGTAGCATGTGAAAGCAAGAAGATCCAGGATAACACTAAGATTCTGGTCTAAGCAGCTGGTAAAGACGAATTCTAACTTTCCAAGATGGGAAAGAGTACAGGTTCTGGAGTGGTGCTGGAGCACTGAGGATTCGGAGGTCTTTCGTTTATTTTCTGGGCAAAAAGTTCCATTATCATTGTGATTGTGCCCTACAGAAACCTGTCTTAAAAAGGAATGGAAGCTCCTCTGAGTAAAAGAGGAAAGCTATAAATGTTCACTGTTGGTGACAAGAAAATTCACAACTGCAATTCACTTGTATAGCTACTGAGACACAAAAGTGCTGGTTTAACACAATCCTGAGAGGGCTTCTCAGCCCATCGCCCATGTATCTGCACATAACTGGGAGTCCAGCTGGGCATGGTGACCCAGCACTTGGGAGGCTGAGGCAGGAGGATTATTGTGAGTTCAAGGCCAATCTGGGCTACAAAGTGAACTCAAAGCCAGTCTGAACTACATAGCAAGACTCTGTCTCAAAAAAACAAAAACAAAAGCCAAACAACAAAACCCTGGGAGTCCAGCTTGCATGCTTCTTTTTCCCCAACCCCTAACTATACAACCTTGAGGCCAGTCCCACTGAAAGCACACTAAGGCCCTGGGCTCCTCACCATCTTGAGCCACCTACCACCAGCATGAGGGATGCTACAAAGGCTCAGTTCTGGGAGAGTGGTCAGGAAAGTGCCAGGCACGCTGCCCACACCTCAGACCACACAACTGAAAATGCTACATACAACATGGAAGTCACTTAAGCTTAGCTGTGAGAAGTCAGTAAACAGTATTCTGGAATGCAACTGGTATAGTAAAGCAAAGCAAAACACAAACCACACTGAGCATCGGTATATTAACCACGGAATACTCTCCTCCTCCAAGTAAAGTAGCTTCTGGCTTAAAATCTTGGCTAAATTTACTTTTGAGACCCAACTGTATACAAGAAAAGCAAAATGAAAACAGCCGTTTCTTCAGGAAAAGTTGTCATGTATCTGAATTAAGATCTCTGACTCTTTTAAATAAGGTTTTTTCTGAACTTTCAAACTAGGCAAGAGAATAATTTTAAAAACCTACCGCTGACTTAATGCAGGATGTTCTAGCAAATGCTTTAGCCAGGTGTTTCTTATCACATTTCGAAGTTCATGGTTATTGCGAGCTGATAACACACCAACTACCACATCGAAGTGACTAGATTTCCACTGAGGAAGTAAGGCAGATTGATCTATAAAAAATAATAATAATAAATTAGAAATGTCATGTCTCAAGTTCAATATGCAACACAAAAAGCTATTATAAATGTTTATATTTATAGAAAACATGGATAAACAGAAGGGAGATGGCTTTTTAAAAAAGTCACTCATAAACTCATCATCCACAGATAAACACTATTAACCTTTTGGCAGAGTGTCTCTGTCCTCTCCAGTGGGTACTGCATCTTGTGTACTATACCGCTGAGCAACATCCCAGCCTTCTTTATTTTGAGTCAGTGTCACTAAGTTGTCCAGGCTGGCCTCAAACTTCAGACCCACCTGCTTCAGTTTTCTGAGTAACTGAGATTATAGACACATAACCTGCACATGGCTTGGTATAGTCCTGTCTTCCACATATATGTATTCATGCTCAGATATGTAAATTTTTTAAAACAAGATGTCAGTAAGAATTGGTTTTCAAAGGCAGTGTGGCATAAATGATAATAGGCAGCATAAATCAAGCTATAGTTAGAATCCTGGCTGTCACACACAGTGGCACCTTGGTTCATGAATTTAATTCTTTCCAGAATTCTAGAAATGGTTGCAATTTGGTTGCAATCAGAATCATGGAACCAATCATAGAAAGAATTAAGTCTGTGAACTGAGGCACCACTGTATTAGTTACAGGTGATTTAACTCTTTGAGCCTCAGTATCCTTAACTACAAAACTAAAGCTGTTGCAAAAAACCAAATGAGATAATGTGTTTAAAGGCCTCCACTGGATACAAAGCACACAGCACATCTTCAAAAGCAGTAACAAAGAAAATTATGCTTTGAAAGATGAAGTTCTACATTAAACATTACCTAATGAGTTTGGGAAAATGAAGTTGAAGGACTTACAAATTGAAAAATATCAGAACCCTTATTTCTACCAATAATTTCTATTGCCAGCAAAATTTTATTGTGTGCTAAATACTCCAACACTTTTATTTTAAAAAAAGTCTAAGAACAACTCATGTGTATGATTTTTTTCCTATCTGTATTTCTAAAACTTGCTGTTAAAAAATGGAAGACATAAATTTATCATCCTTCCTTTCCATCACTGATTTTAAAGCTTGAGAGCCTATACACAAGTGTGTATATATCTCTGATGAGGGATCCATTTCATCTTTATTCAGTGGTGGGAACTGATCCAAAACATTTCCAAAAATAAATTATTGAAAGGCAAGAATCTTTACTATATTAAGTGCATTTTGTTTTTGAGCACTGGGGATTGAATCCAGAGCCTGCTAGGCAAGACCCTACTGAGCTCCATCCCCAGCCCTTAATGCAACACGTTTGTATGCCAAAGGATCTACGTACTACATTGAGGCTAAAACAACAACAACAACAACAACAACAACAACAAAATGTGGATACTTTTTCAAAGGACCAATTAACAGAAAATCAAAAAGGCAGAACCTTCTACTAGGACAATTTTAAGGATATTATAACAATTATAGGAATGCAGGAATTTTGTAGAAACCTTACTTTTCACATTAAGATACATAGGCCATATATATTTATTTTAAAAAATCTCTTTTGTGGGGAGGGGGACAGTACTTAGAATGGAACCCAGGACCTTCGTACTGAGCTGCATGTCCAGCCCTTTTTTGAGAATAGGGCTAGGCTTGAGCTTGACATCTTCCTGTCTCAGCCTCCCAGAATGCTGGGATTATAGGCATGTGCCAGCACATCTGGATAAGCATTTCAATCTTAAGTGAAACAGAGGTACCTGTTATTCTGCTATACTGTGAATCTTGCACTAAAATGAACTCTATAAATATGTAACTTATGTTTAACAAACCCAAATTTTCATGGATTAAACTTGTTTGTTAATAGGTTATGGTCATGGACTGTGTAAACTACGGCAAGGAATGGAGAGAGAGCCACCTAATTAACATTCACAACCCCATCAGGTAGGTACTTACTGATCACATGAGGAGAAAAGTCAGAGAATTCAGTAACTTGATCTAAATCAAATAGTAAGTAAAGGGCTTGGCTAAAATTTAATCTCAAGCAAACTCCATTATTCATTACTATTCTATTCTGTAGCTATACAGAGCTTAGCGTAATTTTGTTGAGTTTCGATTCTGATTTTTTTTTTATCCATAACACTAATTAAATGGGCAATCAGTGAAAATTAGATCAAAGGCGCAGGTTAGCACATTCATTTTTTGAAATTCATGGCCCAGAACTGTTAGATATCTTTTTTCTCAGATATCTAACAATACAATGAAAAATGTTACCCACTGCTGGAACTAACTCTGAAGGCATCTGAATTTGGAGAAACTGAAATGCTCATAAAACCAACTATCGTACATCCATCCCACTCCTTGTCACAGAGAAACAGTAAGCACATTCTAGTGACAGGAGGCAGGCAAAGTGGTCGTCAGCCAGTTCTGACTCTGACTTCCCAGCCCACACGCCACATTTCTTCATTAAGAAGTTATTCAAATCCCATGTGCCCGTTTCTTAACCAGAGAAAGATACAAAAGTCTTTAGATGCTCTACTTCGTTTGTTTCAAAACATCTCAAAATATTAAAAGCTGTAAAAGGGCAAACATTTCATTTAACCTAAACTCTTCACTTATTTGACATCATCAGAAAACAAGGTTGCTGCACAAAAGCAAAATTTCAAAGTAATTCAAACATCCCTTTGAATGCCAAATAGGCACTACTACCTTATTTTTGATGGCTAATCAAAGTAAGTCTCTTACAAAGAGATTACACGAAATGTCATTCAACCTTTTCTTGATGCCTCAAAATCTCCATGAAAAATGTCTCCAGTCTGTCCCTCCTTCAGTATTAATTCTAACTGTTGCTTCAGTCAGGACTGTTTTCTTTCACCTGGACCAGCACAAGAATATCTTAACTGGTTGCTTCCTGACTTCTCCACATTACTGCCAAACAAGACTTTTTCTAAAAATGAGAAAATACATACAAAGATAACCATGTAACATGGGAAAATCCTATGGATTATGGATGTAAACTACTTTTTGATCTTATTCCATCTCTCTGCCACTGTCAATCCTGCTGCTTCTAATCCCCATCTAAGTCGCTTCCATTCAACTCCTTGGCTTTATGCATATCTTTTTCCTGCAGAGAAGCACAGGGCCTACTTTGGCATTTTAGAGAACATCTACTTCCAGATATATTGAAGTCAGACTTCAGAAAAATAGGTCTCCTCTGCCACACACCATGAAAACCAGTCCAACAGACTCCTGAGTATGTGTTACAAGATGTAAAGCCAAGGGGATGCTTAACAAATAACTGTGTAAGAACACTGCTCAAGTTCCTAGCCCCCTTACCCATTTGGCTGCACACCCTCAACATCCTATTATGTGCTACAACCACAGGGTTGTCTGAATTTGGTTTCTGAAAATGGGGTGGGGGGCTATAAAGTGAATACAAGACAAACGGACACTGAGACAATTTAGCAAAGGCACCAAATCATCAACAATCTATGAAAAAACTCTTCAACTTAATTAGCAATATGTTTGAATTACAGCAGTAAGACACCAGTTATGTCCTACAGTGAAGTGGACAAATGTCTTCTTAAATAAGAATCAAATAACGGGACTTGAAGGAAACACTGACAGTGACTTTAAGGCAATGACTCCTTGCTCCATCACCAGCAATGGTAGGGCTTGTTGGAAATATACACTCCATACTGTACAATGGTAGAACATTTTTCCAGCAATTCTATGTCTCAGAACTTATTCTAAAGAACAGTCACTGACACACTCAAAGATCTCTGTTCATCACAGTGTCAATTACTAATAGTGGAAGACTAATAGTGGAAGCTCCATAAATGTACTAAGGGACTGGCTAAACAGACTTATGTGGTATCTGTGAATACTAGGCAGACACTAAAATGTTGTCAATAGGCCATTAAATATTATTTTTCATTATATTAAGATAAGCAGTCTGTAAGAAGTAGGTACGTATTTGTACGGTTCCACTTAAATACAGTACAAAAGCAATCAAAGCTCTGCAGTTAGAGATCAGGATAGTGGTTACCCATTTGGCAGGACAGGGGACAGCACAAAGGAAACTTACAAGGTATTGGTAGTTTTCCTTCTAAAAATGAGTGCTAAGTCCCCCCATTATTATGTTATCCTTCTTTTACTCTTTAAAATAAAAAAATAAAAAATAAAAAATAAAAATGAGTGCTATATAGGTTGGAGACAGTCAGTTTATAAAAACACATCAAGCTGAACAGTTACATGCATCAAAAGACTGTGTATTTTGTACACCAATAACATTTTTAAAAATACTAATGTTTTTCTATTTAGGTATCATGTGGACATGCTTTCAAAGACAGTCTGGAAGAACAGACAATTTATATTCTTGATCCATTCAAATTACCAACATCTCCTATGTTCACTGTGCTAGACTGCACAGACAGAGCACCAAACAAGATCTTTGTAAGGTCAAGAGTAACTTAGGGGCTGGGGATTTAGCTCAGCGGCAAAGCGCCTGCCTGGCAAGCACAAGGTTGTGAGTTTGGTTCCTGGGACTGGAGAAAAAACCAAAAAAAAAAAAAAAGAGTAACACAACCCCAAGCAAGCTCCACAGGGCAATGAACATTTCTTTTCTTTAATATGTAACATATCCTGGGAGTATGGCAACCTGCTAGCACTGACAGGACATCTAAAAGTACATTAAAGGTAAGATGAGTGTTAAAAATAAGCGAAAGGAGTCTTAAAAAATCAGATAAAATTCCACTCTCATATGCATGCTCTTGAATGACATCAATTAAAAACAAGCAGAAATTTTACATACTTTTTTTTTGTTTGTTTGTTTGTTTTTTGGGTTTTTTTGGTACCAGGAATTGAACTCAGACCTTGCACTTGCCAGGCAGGCACTTCTGCTGCTGAGCTACATCCCCCACCCTAGGCAGAAATTTTAAAAATGAGAAAAAATACAGGTCTATCAAAGGCCAAGGTCTTGAAAAGGACAGTCACCATTACACCAGTACGTGTGCCCT